GTCCGAGGGAGTTGTAGAAGCGGCGTGCGGTGTCGAAGGACGGCTTGCCGTACAGGCGCACCATGCTCGCGTCGCTCCAGTCTGCGATGCGCTGGACGAAGTCCCTGGACGCCCCCTGCTCGAGCGCCTACGTCGCTCCTCCCTTACGGAAGGAGTGGGAGGCGAATCGGTCCAGCGGTGTGCCGCCGAATTCCTGCTGGTTGGCGTCGTGGAGAGCCTTCAGGGCCTTCCTGAGGGAGCTGTTGAAGTGGTCGCCAGTCACAGGGTCGTCTCGCCACTCCCCGGCACTGACGTCCACGATGCGGAAGAGGTGCCCGGACCTCGGAGCCTTCTCCCTCCTGTCCAGGACCAGAACAGGGGAGGCGCATGTGGCTACTTGCCTCGTCTGGGCTTACAGAAAATCGCGAAGTGTCTGTCCCAGGTCAGCGAAGGCTGGGGGTTGCTCGGAGAGGGGCACAAGCAGGCCCTGTCCGTATGGGTCATTCTTCTGTCGTTTGACGTGGAGGCGGAAACCCTGGCCTCGCCCGAGGTCCGTCATGTCGTCCCTCGTGAGTGTTGTCACCTCCGAGATGCGCCTCATGCCGAAGAAGGCTATGAGGGCCATGATGCCGTTCCTCGTGGTGCCCAGCGCCCCATAGTTCAGCCAGAAGGGGATGAGCCGCTGCAGCACCTCCACTGGGAGTGGTTTCTTCGGCCGATACGAGGCGTCCAAGGTGCGGTGGAGCCCCTGCAGGAAGAGGCGCACCTGCGGCTTGGTGAAGGGGGGCGGGGGGTGGTTGTGCACCTTGTGCCACGCCTGAGTGGCCGACCGCAGCTGCTTCACCTGGGACCAGTGGCGGTCCTTTGCGAAGGCGGCGAAGGCCCAGATGGTCTTCTCGGGTGAGTCGAGTGGGAGGAGTGACGGGAAGTCATTCTCGGCGCGCCGCAGGACGCCCTCATACGCCTTCTGCGTCGATGGTGCCCAGACCGCCCCGAATGCCTTCCTGACCAGCTCGGCCACTTCCGACGCGTCGCTCGGTGCTTGGAGGCGGTCGCTTGACGTGCCTTTGACCGTGCAGAGGCACGGGATGGGGGCAGCGAGGGAGTGCGCTTGCATCTGGGTGGGTGCGATGGTGCCTGTCCCCCTGCAAACTGCGCACACCGGCGATGACCTGAAGGCGCATCCATGACACGGAGAGGGGAGTGATGAGCGGCTGCATCTTGCTTCTTGGTATGCGTGCCGCACTCATGCACATCGCCACGCACTTGCCCGTGCCCCCCTATGGGTTGTATTATGTGTGTGTGTGCCTGCAGGTGGTTTGTCTGCCGCGTGTCCGGGCCATTGTGGCTGTCGTCACATTCACGTGCCATGCGCAGTCCCTGTTTGAGTATCATTGTGGCCATCGCCATACTCCTGTGTCAGTCGCGGTTCATGCACGAGGTGCTGTGGCTACCGTCATGATTCCTATGTGACCTGCCGTCGCCAACACTCTACGACTCGCTGCCCCTCGTGTGTCCGGACAGGTAAAGTACGACCATGGGGAACGGGGCGGGTTGGCGAAAGTGCCATTGTGCATCAAACGACTCCTGTGCTTCTGACGCTGTCAGTAGGGTGTTCACTACCCGTGCTCCTCGGGCCCAGCTACCCGCGACCTTGAAGCGTGAGTGCCGACTGTAGCCGCCCAGGATGGCCTCTACGCGGTCGCAGTGGCCGACAACCACGACCGTCTGACGGTGGTGGAAGAACCACTCCATGGCCGCATCCATGGCCGCCAGCGTCTCGGCGGGGAGGGGTGTGAAGACTGTTGGGCCCTTGGCGTGCCCGCTGGGACCTTCCTCGGCTGCTGCTGTGTGGTGTTGGGCCGTCAAGGCCAACTAGGGGGACGAGCAGAAGAAGTGGTGCTCGCAGCGGATGTGAAGGCGCCTCTGCAGGGCTGACCACGACCTAGTTGTTAAGCGGTGGGGCACGTCGCTCGACGGCTCGGCCAGCCGCGACTGGGCGTCGGCCGCCTGGTTGTGTTCGCCCGGTATGTGGTGGGCGAGCAGCTGGCCTGCATCCACCGCCCTGAAGAGCTCGCCCAGCACACGCATGGGGCGGTGGTTGACTCAGCCCACTGCTGCCGTGTTGTCCGAGCGGATCAGAATGAGGTGCGACCCCCACTCTCTCGCCCATCGCTGGGCCGCAAACAGGATGGCGAGCAGCTCGCGGAAGTTGATGGAGGTGTGGTGGGGTGACAGCAGTGTGAAGTGGGGGGTCAGGAGGGAGGCGTTGAGGCCCGACGCCCTGCAGTCGAGGATCAGACGGACTTTCGTCTTGGTGTCGCCTGGGTCTCTCTTCTTCTCCACCACCCCAAGCGGATTGACGATGAAGGGGCGGTGGGTGCATGGCTCGACGAAGCCCTTGGTGATGAGACGCGTGAGTTCCGTCAGCACTGCCTCCCAGAAGTCGAAGAGCGAGTCGTAATTGCCCCGGTAGAAGGGCTTGAGCGGTCGGAAGATGAGAAGATCGACGCCTCTCTCCCAGTCGCTGACGACCGTCTCGTTGACGCCCCACGCCCGGGCTCTGGGTGGCCGCAGGCGGCCGCCTGCCGTCCAGGCTGAGATGCGGTGTGCCGTGAGTGGTCGCCACGACGACCGGCCTAGCCCTTGAGCGAAGTTTTGGATGTGCATGCTGCTTTCCAGTGATTTCCGAAGCGCATCGTGCGTGCCGTCTGTGTTGTTGTTTGAGCCCGTGGGTTGCTCAGTCGATTGGATGGAGACTGAAGGCACAGTGGACAGGCAGACGAGCCCGCATTCGTGTCATTAAAGCACAAAGCAATTGGTGTCTCGCCCCATGCAGAGTCTCGCTGACGCACGAACGACTGGCTCGACTGAGCCCTTGGGCAATGCTACTCAGAGCCTAACAGATGTCGCTGACTACTGGCCCGTGCGCTGCCTCTTACTCGGCCGCGGGGCGTTCGGGCAGTCTTTGCGCAGATGGTAGGCCGTGATGCCCAGTCCCTCGTAGACTCCTCGCAGACGGCGCAGGAGAGGATGATCGGCTGCGGGCACCTCGTGACGTGATGCCCCTTGGCCTCTCGCGGGTCCGTGATCTTGCCCTGACGTGGGCAAACACACACACACACGCAGCGATGAGACCAGGCGGTCTTTCTGTGCTGTGGGGCGAGACCAGGTGACGGTCTGCCTGTGCTGTGGTGCCCTGCGTACCTGGATGTAGTATTCCAGGCAGTTGTCGCTGAAACAGTCTTGTCCACCGCGCGGGACGAGACTGCCACCGGCTGGTGCACCGGGGGTGCCGCCGGCTGACGTGCCGGTGGGGCAGGGGGGCGCTGCTGGCCCATGTGAGAGCTGGCCGCTGCCGCGCGATGGACGAACGCGGGGGCACTGAAGGTCAGACAGGGGAAGACAAATACGTACACATACAATACACACCCTCATGCACACGTCCATGCGCACACACCTACACACACACCCCACACACCCCTCCCTCCTTCCCTCTTTCCTTACCGTGTTGCGCCGGGGCCGCTGCTGCTACTGCTACTGCTGCTGCCGATGGTGCGGGTGCGGGTGAGGGTGGTTGCGCGTGGGTGGGGTATGTGGGCTGGCGGCTCTGCTGTTGTAGGATGCTGATCTGGCTGGCCACCTGCCGCAGCTCGCTGCTCAATGCCGGGACGGCGCGCGCGACGAGGTAGAGGGGTGGCGGGGGAGCCACGCGCTGGCCAAGGTGCTTGGCCAGGGGCTCGCGCAGAGTGTCGTCGACGCCAGGGAGCTCGAAGTAGCCCTTGCTGCCGTCCCCCCCGCCCAGCACCGGCATCTTGGCCTCCTGCGCCACATCCTGCACTGTCTTGACGAAGCGGTGCACCTGCAGGTAGATCTGGCGGTCCTCTCCCTCGTCTGCCGTCGCCGTGTTGCCCTTCACGGTCATGAGCGCCGTCCACAGCTGTGCTGAGGTGATGTCCTTCAGTTGGATGCGGGTGCTGCCCCCTTTGATGGTGAGCTGGTCGTCCGCGCCCTTCTCGAACGAGAGAGGCGGAGGGGGGAGCTGGTCGGCGAGGGCGGTCACCATGCGCTGCGCCAGCTTGCTGTCCTCGGTGAATGGGGATTGGATCTGCTTGGTGAGCTGCCGCTGCGCCGCCTCGGAGGTCCCTATCCGCTGCTCCAGCCCGCCCAGCCGCCCGCCGATGGACAGCATGCCCTGCGTCATCCGTTGCTTCAAGTCGCCGAGCTCTCTCTCCAACATCTCCAACCTCTGGTACCGCTCGATGTCTCCATCCACCCCTCCGCCCCCTGCGGGTCATCCTTTTGCAGCAGATCCACTCATTCAACTTGTCTTTTGCACGCCCTCGTACGCCCTCACATACGGCTCGTATGAAGTGCTCTTCATTCAGGTGTGGGTAGTTCAGGCGTGCTGCCTTGACCTCTGTGATGAAGTCAGGAATGCTCACATCCGACTTGTCATCGAATGGGCGGAGGGTCACTGTTGGTTTGAATACATACTGCATGGCAGTCATCTGTGCCAGCCCGTTGGGCTGCCGCTATGCGTGCCATGCTGTGCTTGGTGTGGTGTATGGCCCTCCCCTCGATTCGTGGCTGCCTGTGGCAGCATAACTATGCTTGCTGTGTCATCAGTGGTGTGCAGACACACTCGATTCGTTCTGTGCCTCTTGTATCGCTGAAACACTGCCCACATTATCGTGTGAGGACCTCACTTTGTGTTGACGAGTCATTCGACGTAACACTTCACTCACACGTGCGTCTTGCTGACACGCTTCATACTCTTCTTTGGCTTAGCCTTGGCAACAGGCCTCGCCACCCGTGCAGAAGGTGGCTTCTGCGTGTCCCGACCACTTCGGGTCTTTGCCATTGTGTCCAGTCAGCCGTCCAAACACGATGTCACTCAGCAGACGTGTTGCGCTTCACGGCAGATGCACCAAAATGCTCCGGGGTGTCCCAGATGGAGCGGTATCTAGTGGAGAACAGGTGAGTGATGTATGCTCGCCGCCTATGTACAGTAATGTCAGCCAATGTGAAGTAGTTGTTCGTTGGCTGACGATTTGGAGACACAAAGAACCGGAACAGCTTTTACTGGTGTCCACACGCAACACACACACACACACACGCGCACGATGTCAATCACGGTATCAGTGAGGCGCGTTGGTAGCCACGCAGAATCGACGCGCTCTCTCTCCCCGATTTGAGAGTTGCCAGGGAAGGCCGCTCGGAACGACGGGAGAACTGGAGGGGAAGCAGAAAGTTGAGAGGCAGGAACACTACCAGATCTCGCCAGAGATGACCGGGATGGCCACCAATCGTGATGAGAACACCAAAGAATGGCTAGAATGATCACTGGAAGGGAAAGCAAACGAAAGAACGCTCGTTTATTGTAGAATGGTCAGCAAAAGGTGTTCTCTGTCAGTCTGCGCGCTCATCGTAATAACAAACCAGCTTGATATGTCCGATATCTATATACTTTGTAATGGATTGTCTTCCTCTCCTTTGTACGTTCGCCGTCTGCAGTGCTGTCATCTCCCAATCGCTGGATCGGAAGCGATTCGTCGTGGAGGGCGCTGTTAGGCCATATGGAGATGGGCAGTACGAGTACATGCATCCGCGGCCAGGGGCGCTGCACGTGTCGGAGCTGACTTCCATTGCCGTCAGGGAGGGCGACACAGTCATCCCTGATAACCTGGACAGCCTCTTCAACGTCACTGGGGAGAAGAGCCGACAAGTGAAGGGGAGAACTGTCTTGGCCCGCGACAACAAAACGGTGGTCTTTTATGCTGATCAGCCCTTTGCCCTAGAGGAGAATGTCAGTGTCAAGTTCGGTCCCGGCCTGCGCGTGCGGCGCTCCGAAAGGCGTAAGAAAGAACATGAGGCAGGCTGCTACGAATGGAGCTTTTGGATACGAACGGAGTATGGGTCAGCGAGCGTGCAAACGATATTGCCGTTCGACTATTTGGATGAAAAGAATGAGCAGGAGGCGATTGAACTTGGATCGATACCCATGAATCGCTACCGTACACTCCCGACGTGGGCCGCGAAGTGGAGGCCATCTCCGGAGGGCGAGAAGGCCGCCTTGGACCCAAAAAACAAGGAAAACAAGGCAATTCGTGACGGAGAGCTTTATTACTTTGGTGTTGGAGGAAATTACGGAGAGCATATTGGCCAGAGTGTCATTACAACACGCGAGGTACAACGCATATACGGAATGGTGTTAATGCAGAGCCTGTTGTTGCTGCACATCAAACAGGGTGACCTAGTCTGGTGGGTGAAGGCGTCTGCAGGGGCCGGTATGCTTGGCGCGACACAAAATGGACGTTTGGCGCTATGGGACCAGAGGCCGAATGATGGTGCCATGGCTGTGTACGAAGTGAACTCCACATATCAGGTGGTCGACAGGTGAAGAAATCACTAGAGCAACAACAGCATTCTTCTTTCCAATGCAAGATTTGACCAGACACCAAATGGGTCACGGCTACCCTTTAGACTATCATAACGCATTCTTTGATGAGGAGGGCAACACAATCCTGACAGGCAAGACCAAAGTCAATGGCGTCCTGCACAACGGTCAGACAGCAAGCAAGAAGGCAGTGGGGCTGTATGTGTGCCCTGTGTGCACATGTTCTTCCCCTTGTTTCAGTGGTGCATGTGTTAGACGCCAGCACGAATGTGCTCCTGGAGTGGCGCAGCATCGATGATTTCATTGACGATGCCGATCCCATCTTGCCGGGGGAGGCGGATAATGGAGATGTACGTGCCAGTTGCTCATTATAATAGTGTCTACATGTCTGCTTCCCCGCGTGCGTATGCCAGGTGTATCACATCAATAATGCCGAACGGACGCCGGACGGTGAGCGCGGTCAGCAAACCGCATATCGTTAAACCGCATATCGTTGACCAGACTGTATTTCTCCTGACGGCA